ATTCAAACAACTTCCCAAATTCTTTAAGAGTTAATCGCACATCGTTGCTCAATAATCGGAATTGCACATGAGTGATTATAGCATTCATTCTAATAACATTAAAACTAGAGATAAATTCTAATGCTAAATAATCATATGTATCATGGCACATTTGAAAGAAACCACTCATGCCTATACCCTTAAACAATTTTTCTACATATTTATCAAGACCTAATCTAGATAATGTAGGATGATGAACAAAGTGGGTTGACATTACTTGTCTATCGATGAGATTTAGCATCCTTGCCCGTTTTTCCCCCGAGGTGATAACAACCTCCTCCCATCCCGGTATTTGAAGCTCCGGGTCGACCATTGGTTGTTGTTGCCTCGAACTTTCGCCATATGTAGAACGCTTTGAAGCCATATGTAGGTGGAAAATTGGGTATTTGAAGTTTTCTCTTTCCAAGGGTTAGAAGAATTTATGAGAGGAAGTGGGAGAAAGTGGGTGGAAAATGTAGGGTAAGGTGTGAGGATTAAGAATATGTAAAAATTTTGAGGTTTTGATGGGTGAATTTGAGGAGATCTTGAAAAGGAAGTGAAGTTGAAGGTTTGAAAAATGGAGGTTTTAGAGAGAGAAAGGGTGAATGAGAAAGAAGAAGTAAGAAAGAAAGAGAAAAGAGAAAGGGAGGAGGAGGATAAATCCTCCGGATAAAATAGGCGCGCCCGATCGGGCGAGCCTCGCCCGATCGGGCGAAGGTAGTTCAAGCTAGTTTGTAAAGTGCGCGCCCGATCGGGTGCGAACACGAACCTGGAAATTGCCATTTTGCTCGCCCGATCGGGCGAGCTTCGCCTGATATTTCTTTTTTGGCACTCGATTTCTCCTAAATTCCGCCCGATCGGGCAAAGTTTCCCTTGATTTCTTTCCTTACTCGCGCGCCCGATCGGGACTCCTTGCCCGATCAGGCGAAATTAAGCTCCGATAAATTCGATATTTCGCGCCCGATCGGGCGGAATAAAGTTCAATTCCGACCCTTTGGTGCGCGCCTGATCGGGCGAGCCTCGCCCGATCGGACCCGTACCCAATCCTGGAGCTTCTCTTTCTTCTCCTTTTTCTCTTGCAACCTCCATACGTTGTGATCTAAAACCTGTACAAAATACTCATGAAAGGTAAAATTTCACTCTCTTCACCTCTCTAAGAAAAAGTAAAAATAAAAATGAAGAAAAACATTAGTCTAGAAAGTAAAAAATACGGGTTGCCTCCCGCAAAGAGCTGGTTCATCTAGGTCCCGCACGACCCTCTTACCAAGTACAAGAACTAGAACCCTTGGCCTAACGCTTGGTCGGGTGGTTTCTCACCCGGTCGAGCGACACCCGGTCGAGCGTTGGTTTAGGCTACGATGCAGCTTCCTGACATACCCTGTGGGACACCAATTCACCTTATCTGGTGGATCCTCCTTGACTTGGATCAGGAGCTCTTCAATGCTACGCACTGAAGATCCTTCTTCGATCGAGGGTTGCTTCAAATTGTCATTGCATTTAACACTTGCAACTTTATCTGGCGGAACACTTACCGTAGGTTTAATTTGCACAACTTTCTTGATTGATTCCACCTTTTCATCTTCAAAACCAAGACCAACAGTGTAGAGGGCTCTTTCTATTGCATCAACTTCCTTCTGCCATTTGTCTATCTCATCTGAAAGGGATGCAACACAAGATACCGCCTCCAAGGGATCTTTTACAAGAGCTTGGGGCTTGTTAGAATAATTCTCAACCACATTAACACTAAAACACTTCTCCTCTGTCATTGGGATTTTAGGGGTATTATTAAGATTAAAAAATAATTTTATCATCCCCTAATGATAATGTTAATTTACCACTTCTCACATCTATGATTGCTCCTACTGTGTTAAGGAATGGTCTACCCAAAATAATCGGGGTTTGCATATCCTCAGCCATTTCAAGAACAACAAAATCAACAGGTATATAAAATTTACCTACTCTAACGGGAAAATCCTCTAAAACACCTAAGGGGTATTTGAAAGAACGTTCGACCATTTGTAAAGTAATATTAGTAGCTTTTAATTTACCCATATTCAGTTTGGAACACACAGATAAGGGCATAACACTAACGCTAGCACCCAAATCACACAATGCATTATCAATCATTAGATTGCCTATATGACAAGGGATAGAAAAACTACCCGGATCTTTTAATTTAGGTGGAGATTTATTCTGAAGTACATACGGCACTACACTCTGCAGTGAAAGCTATTGTCTCTACCTCGCTGATAGACCTTTTTCTTGTCAATATTTCTTTCATAAATTTTGCATATGAAGGAATTTGTGTGATTAATTCGGTGAAGGGAACTATTACCTTCAAATCTTTTACCATCTCCAGGAACTTACCAAACTGCTTATCCAAGTTTGTCTTCAAGTGACGATTGGGGAATGGAAGTTTGATAACTGGCTTGGGAGAAATATTGCTCTTATCTGGAGTGGCCACCTTCTCTAGAGTCGTACCCTGCAATGTAAAATTAGATATATTTAGTACCATGCTTTAGCCCTGCAGGGCTATTAGCTACATTGTCAGGTTTAACGGAATCAAGATTAGCATTATTTAATAAAACAGATTCATCAACTCCGGGCATCAGGGGCCCTTCATAGTTTGAACCACTCCTTAGAGTAATTTCATAGGCTTGATCCGTAGGCCTGGTCGGCTGTGTCGGCAGAGCTCCCTGTTGGCGGGCTTGTAGAGTAGCGAAAAGTTGCGCAATTTGATTATCTACAATTTTGTTATGTGCTAGAATTGAATCAATTTGCGCATCTCTGCTCTCCATATGCTTCTGCATATTAACTAGCATCGCTCTAATTTCTACCAAAGAGGGGTCGGAAGATGAGGAGGGTTGTTCTGGTTGGTTCTTCTGGCCAGCATTGGGATGGTAATATTTCTGCTGCTGTTGCTGTGGCGACTATGGTTCTTGTGGTGGTGGATTTTGAACATTAGTACTCCGGTAGGAAAGGTACGGATGATTCCGATACCCAGGATTGTAGGTGTTGGATTTCCTATTCCTCGACTTGATGATATGCTTGATGAATTGCATGGTTCCAAGGTGTTTTCAAAGATTGACTTGAGAATGGGGTACCAACAAATTCGCATGCGTGAAGGAGATGAATGGAAAACCTCTTTTAAGACAAAGCAAGGCTTGTATGAGTGGCTTGTAATGCCATTTGGGCTTTCAAATGATCCTAGCACTTTCATGAGATGAATGAGGTACTTTGCCCCTTCATTGGTAGATTTGTTAGTGTTTATTTTGACGATATACTTGTTTATAGCAAATGTGAACTTGATCATGTTGAACATTTGAAGCAGGTATTTTAAACATTGCGAAGTAGGAGGCTTTTTCCAAGTTAGAAAAATGTACTTTCATGATGCAAAAAGGTTTCCTTTTCAAAGGAAACAAGCTTTGTGTTCCGAAATGTTCTCATCGAAAGTCACTTGTCAAAGAAGCTCATCAAGGAGGCCTAGCCGGACACTTTGGGGTTGCAAAAACATATGACATCCTTCGAGAACATTTTTATTGGCCTAGAATGTTTGGTGATGTGCAAGACGTAATAGCTCGTTGTGGGGCTTTTCATAAGGCTAAGAGTCAATTCCATGAATGACTATACTCTCCTCTTCTAGTTCCTAGTCACCCATGGGATGACCTTAGTATTGATTTTGTGGTTGCTTTTTGTAGAGAATAAATTTCAAGCGTTAACCCCTAGCTTGAACCCCACTGTGATCATACACTAAAGTACGGTGGCGTCCAAAAGGGAAAAAGATAGAGCAAAAGAGTCGCCAACAAGTTTTAGGAACTTGTAAACCGTTCACGAGGTGAAGGTTACACCCCTTAACAATCCAAGAGATCGTCAACTCCATAAGGTCTTGAACCAAATAAGGGTTCGGGGATGAAGGTACAAATCCAACCTAAAAGAGATTGAACCTACCCTAACAATAGGCCTCTACTTTATTCTGATCGTATTCATTTGCGCTTTCTAACTAACATACAATCAACAGGATTAACCCTAAACCTGTTTAATCTATGTTGGTTGAATATTAATGCACAAATAAAACTATTATTGGTGATCACTTGAAATTATAATCAAATTAACCCTAACAAGATTATTAATTATCATATTAAGCGTGATTACAAGTACCAATTCCCTTTAAACATGCATAAGAAGGTGTGATCAAGCAATAACAATAAATATCAAGCAACATAACAATAATCATAAATAAAATAATCATCATCAAAATAATAATAATAATAATAATAATAATAATAATAATAATAATAATAATAATAATAATAAAAATAATATTCATAATCATAGTTATGGGTAAAAATATGCAAGACTTAGTCAACGACAGTCAACGAAGGTCAGCGACGGAGACTTCCCTCGACGAAGCCATAAACTCGACGAAGCTTGAAGCATCGACAGAAGACTAAGTCAAGTAACAACCTCCTATTTCTTAGGGAAGGGACAAGCTCAGACTTAGTCCAACTTCAGCCACTCCAGTCCGTTGGAATTCAAAACAGAAGAAAAGTAACCTCCGCAACTAACGTCCTAAAATCATGGGCACGATATTATCTCCTTGCAACGGCTAGGATATAACCTAGCAAATCATCTATATAAGGGTCAAAGCAGCAACGAGTATAGCCATCATCCAACAACATACATCATACACTAAACCTTGTAAACTGATATTATTTTTTGCATAGTGAAAGTTTGGTAGATCCTCATTCTACCCGCGGTTTTTACCTTCATTGGGTTTTCCGCGTCACCAATTCCTTGTGTCGTTTACTCTCTTTTTATTTTCGCCTTATATTTGATTTTTCTTAGTTGATCCGTAGCCTAGATTTTGATACTCAATCCCACTTAGCAAAAATTAGCATAAACAATTTGGCGCCCACCGTGGGGCTACAACTAGGTAAAATCTAAAAATTCCTCGCCAAACCTTCAACATGTCAGCCGACGAAATGACCCCAGAACAGCTAAAACCTTCCTATGAGAAAGTTCAGGCCGATCTCGAAGCAGCTAGGGAATCTAATGAGCGTCTTAGCAAGGAAAAAGAAGCGTCAGACTCCGATGCAGCCGCTCTCCGCCAACAATTGGAATCCGCCCAAAGCAATCGTCGTCGCCGGCCAAGGCAGCTAGGCCTGATTCCTATAATGCCGTCGCTGGATGTCATTGAGTCCCCCCATGATACTGATACTGAATCCACTGACGGAGAAATGAACGTGGACCCCCCTGTTAGGAATGCTGGGCAAGGGACCATTCGGACTTCAGGCGACGATCAAGGTAGCCCGCAACCCGACCAGACGGAAATCCTGCTCCAGAGGCTGGTTGCCTTAGAAAAGCAGAACTCTAAGGTCCTGTCAATGATGAAAAAGATGCCCGTCGTGCCGATCCCCGTCCAACGAGAAGCTCCAGATGGATTCGCAGCTACCCCTTTCCGCAACGAGTTGGCCCTGACCCGAATTCCCAGAAGATTGTCGCTCCTAACTTTTACATCGCTATATGACGGAACGACCTGTCCAGAGCAGCATGTCGAGTACTACAAGCAGAAAATGTGGCAAGCTTCGATCCCGTTCGAGTTCTGGGAAGCATGCATGTGCAAGTCATTTGGTGCGACGCTGACAGGCCCCGCCCTCAAGTGGCTCGGCAAACTTGAACCAGGTAGTATAACTAGTTTTGCTAGGTTAGTTAACAAATTCTGTTCCCATTTTGAAAGTAGCAGGCAGTTCCACAAGCAGACGAGCGATCTGTATCGGATCGTCCAGGGTCCTAAGGAGACCATCAGAGCTTATTGGTCTCGGTTCAACAAAGATAAAGTCTCAATCAAGAATGTCGACAATAGGACTGCCATTGAAGCCTTCCTCCGCAGACTGCATACGTACTCGGACCTGTATAAAGATATGGTCAAATATCCATGCTCAACATTTGAAGAAGTCCGGACCAGAGCCGTGGCTCAAATGCGCTTCGACGAAGATATCGCCAATCGCAGTTCCTACCCAAGTTCCAGGAGTTTGTCTAATCGAAAGGCCGCAAGCAACCCAAGAGGATCGTGGCGGCATCAGCCTTATGAGGCAACAGGTAGATCACGCTGTGTTAATGCTGTGCAGGTAGAAGATATCCTCGACGCCCCCCAATACCCCGAGATATCGGAAATGGCTTCGACGTGAATATCGTAGCGGTAGTTAAAGAATTGGAGCCCTTGGGAAGCAAAGTGCGCTGACCCTCAAAGAGTAACAAACCAGAATCAAAGAAAGATATGAGCAAATGGTGTGAGTTCCATAGCGATCATGGCCATAAGACGGAAGATTGCTATGCCTTGAGAAGAGAAGTCGCCTTCCAGCAAAAGAGAGGCAACCTCAAGCATCTATCGGGGAAAAAGAAAAGCAATGACACAGGTCGCCGTGAGCCAGAAAAGACGACGACAGATGGACCTCCCAAGCCCCCTGTAACTAAGGTAATAGTTAATGTTATCACTGGTGGTTCCGATATTTGTGGACTAACCTACTCTGCAGCAAAAAGGATCGCAAAGTCGACGGTAAATAATGCAGATGTCCCGTACGAGATCAGAAACCCCCTGGAAAAGCAGCTAGAAGCGATGTCAATTACTTTCGATGATGACGACGTCAAAAACATCAACAGAGAGCATGAAGAATCTTTGGTAATTTCTTTGGTCGTCGGGAATTGTCTGCTTTGAAGGGTGCTAGTCGACGGAGGAAGCTACGCAAATGTCCTGTTCAGAAGGGTCATGAAAGACATGGGATTAAAAGATAGCGACATCACCAGAAGGTCGACGACTCTGGTAGGTTTCAGTGGAGAAAGCATGTCAACTCTCGGAGACATAACCCTTCCAACCTATGCAGGAGGCCTAAACCCTCAAACCAAATTCAACATCGTCGACTGCCCATCAGCCTATAACGCCATATTAGGACGACCCTAGATCCACCGATTGAAAGCCATTCCTTCCACCTACCACCAATCAATCAAATTTCCCACCCCATGGGGAGTCCAAGAAATTAAAGGGGAACCCCGCGAAGCCAAACACTGCTACAAAACAACCCTTAAACCAACCATGAGAACCGCATAGAAATTACAACATGGCCCGACACCAGACAATCCCAACAACCTCGAAATCGATGAAATACCTTTAGACCCCAAAAAACCTGATCAAACCGTTCGTGTCGGAGCTAACTTAACACCTGAACTAAAAGACAGTATATTAGCCTTTCTCCGAGAGAAAAAAGACTGTTTCATCTGGTCTCATAAGGACATGACTGGTATAGACCCGAGCATCATCTCGCATAAGCTGAACGTCGACCCAAATCATAAGCTCGTCAAGCAGAGCGTCGAAAGTTTGCTCCGGAAAGGAATAAGATCATCAACGACGAAGTACAGCAGCTGATCGACACAGGAAAAATAAGAGAGGTCAAGTATCCAGATTGGCTCGCAAATGTTGTCGTCGTTAGCAAAAAGAATGGCAAGTGGAGAGTATGCATCGATTTCACCGATCTCAATAAAGCATGCCCTAAGGATCCGTTCCCGCTCCCGCACATCGACGCCATGGTAGATGCAACGGCAGGTCACGAGCTCTTAACATTCATGGACGCCTACTCCGGATACAACCAGATCCTAATGCATCTCGACGATCAGGAGAAGACGACCTTCATGACCGATAAAGGTATATATTGTTATAAAGTTATGCCATTTGGACTAAAAAATGCAGGTTCGACGTACCAAAGACTCGTCAACAAGATGTTTAAGGACCATCTAGGAGAGACGATGGAGGTATACATCGACGATATGCTGGTGAAATCAAAGAATTCGAAGGACCACGTCGATCACCTCAGACAAACCTTTGAGGTATTGCGAAAATATGGTATGAAACTTAACCCTACTAAATGTTCATTTGGAGTGTCCGCTGGAAAATTTTTGGGCTATGTAGTAACACAAAGGGGAATTGAAGCTAGCCCTCACCAAGTCAGATCCCTAATAAATATTCAATCCCCCCGAAATGTTAAAGAAACCCAAAAATTGACCAGACGAGTGGCGGCATTAAATCGCTTCATCTCTCGATCGTCAGATAAATGTCATCTATTTTACAAAGTTTTAAGAAAAAATAAAGGTTTTGAATGGACTGACGATCATGAGAAAGCTCTGCAAGATTTAAAAAAATACTTAATGACGCCACCCCTCCTGTCGAAACCCAAAACTAATGAGCCTTTGCAGCTTTATATTGCCGTCAGTGCTGTAGCCGTCAGCGCAGTCCTGACAAGAGAAGACGACGACGTTGGGCAGCTTCCGGTTTATTATGTAAGTAAAACCTTGCTCCCAGCCGAGGTAAGATACACTTCCCTAGAAAAGTTAGCCCTCGCTTTAATCACTGCTGTTAAAAAGCTAAGGCATTATTTTGAAACCCACCACGTAGTTGTGATCTACGTGATGACTAATTATCCGCTTAAGTTTGTCTTGAGAAAACCAGACCTGATAGGGCGTTTGGGTAAGTGGAGCATCTCGTTGAGCACGATGGATATCGAATACCAACCTAGAAAAGCAATTAAATCCCAAGCTCTCGCAGATTTTGTGGCTGACTTCAGCCCCGACTTACAGGTTATAGCCGACAAAGAGGTGGAAGAAATAAACAACGTCCAGAGCAAAAGTAAATGGATCTTGTTCGTCGACGGATCATCCAACCAACGAGGAGCTGGCCTGGGAATGGTGCTAAAGTCGCCACAGGGGGACATGATAGTAAGGTCTATATCTTGTGATTTTAAAGCAACAAACAATGAAGCAAAATATGAAGCTTTGATTGCAGGAATGACCGTTGCTAAAGACCTAGGAGCAATAGCCTTGGATGTGTACAGCGACTCCCTCCTCGTCGTCAGCCAAATAACAGGTGACTTCCCAGCAAAAGACTCGAAAATGTCAGCGTACCTCGACATAGCCAAAGAAAAATCTAAACATTTTGATCCTTTTACCATCTCTCAAATCCCAAGAGACCAAAATGCCCAAGCCGACGCATTAGCAAACCTAGCCTCCGCCCTCAAAAAGACCACCTTCACGAATATCCCTTTAGTCCATTTACAAAAACCGTCCATATCCTTTAAGGAAATCCTACCAGTCGACGACGTGAACAACGACGACGACTGGACCAAACCTATCATAGACTATTAGACCAAAGATATCCTACCCAATGACAAAGTAAAATCACGAAAACTAAAATACAAAGCCTCCCGATACCACATCATTGACGAAGTCCTATTCCACAAATCAGCATTAGGGTTATCCCAAAGATGCATCCAAAAGCATGAGCAATAGTCCATCCTTAGCCACTTGCACGATGGAATATGCAGCAGTCATGTCGGAGGAGAAAACTAGCCAAAATTGCGAAGCGACAAGGATATTTTTGGCCAACGCCTCATGAAGACGCAATACAATATGTGACCAAATGCGACAGCTGTTAACGATTCGCCAATACCGTCCATAAGCCTTTGGAGCCTCTCCACCAAACATTATCTCCATGGCCCTTCATGAGGTGGGGAATGGACATCGTCGGGAAGATACCCGCGGCACCAGGACAAAGAGTATATATGTTAGCACTAACCGACTATTTTTTTAAATGGATTGAAGCAGTTGCTTTGAAGCAGGTGACGAACAAGGAAGTCATTACATTCATATGGACTAACATTATATGCAGGTTTGGAATTCCGTTGGTAATCTTCTGTGACAATGGGTCACAGTTTATTAGCGACAAAACTCGTTCTTTTTTGCAGAAATTTCGCATAGAGTTGAGGACGTCGACACCAAGGTACCACAAGCCAATGGACAAGCCGAGTCCAGCAACAAAGTCGTCATGGAAGCCATTAAGAAAAGGCTAAAAGTAGAAAAAGGCAAGTGGGCTAACGAGCTCCCATCAGTCCTGTGGGCCAACCGGACGACGCCAAGAGAAGTGACGGGGCAGACCCCCTTCTCCCTTGTCTATGGGTGTGAAGCCGTTCTACCAGTCGAGGCTGACTTCCCAACGTCGAGGTTCGGTCTCATGACAGAGGAGAGAAATCAAGAGGAAATGGAAGATAACTTAGATGCAGTTGAAGAACTAAGAGAAATAGCGCTAATCAGAATGGCAGCATAACAACAAATCGTCGCTAGAAGCTTCAACAAAAACGTCAAAGCCAAAACGTTTCAATTAGGAGACTGGGTACTAGGGAAAGCATTCCAAAATACAAAGAATCTGGCCGACGGAAAGCTCGCCCCCCCCCCCATGGGAAGGACCATATGAAATTACCCAAGCCATCGACAACGGTGCATATCGATTAACCGACCAGCAAGGTAACCCCATTCCACGAAGTTGGAACGCAACCCATCTCAGAAAATACTACTTTTAGCGTTCGTCGACAAAACGGTAATGTTCTAAATAAAACCCTCTACTTACTTCATTCATTCAAAGTTTTTATTTATGACTAAGCGTACTGACTTAAGCATCGGAGGGTCGTTGGTCGTGCCAACGGCCAACGGTGCTTTAACCACGATTGTTTTGCAGTACAATCGACCGACGAGACATTCCACTAAGGAAAAGAAAAACATGGCTTTATCACCAGCAGTAGAAAACAAACGACGACGGACGTCAGCTACACTAGCGTCCTCCAAAAAGCGAGCAAAGCCACCGTACAATCGACAATCGAAAGCACGACGAAGCCCGGGGCAACACTTGACCTTAGTGTTTGACGCCAAACACCCGATACCTGAGCCATGAACTAGTCTTCAGGGTTTAGCGTCGACGCTGGGACGCAAGGGCCATTGGCAAACAATGCAACGATAGGCCTAAAATCACAAAGTCTTCAACGAAGCATACTGTGTAGCTACACATCTGTATTTAAAAACGTCAATTACTATTTAGACATGTTGTCTTCAAAAGCTAATAAATAGTTTTTCGAAGTTTTTTGGAATTTAATAATCTTACTTGTTGACTTATCATTTTAGTAAACAAATTTTAATTGCTTTTTGCCTTACGTCCACAGATAACAACTTGAGCAAAAGAAAAGGAATACTTAGCATATAAAACAAAAGCAAATTGTCAAAAGAACCACTTGCCCTCAAGTGGAACAAAAGATACAAGTTACCAAATCAAAATACAAGTTCTTGAAGCAAAAGCAAAACATCGTTTAAAAGCATA